TATTGATAAGCTCTTTCTGAACGTACTTATTTGTAACTGTGCGCTTTTCGAGACACGTTTTGCCTTGCACAACCAATCTGCGTAACAAGTTATCGTCTGCGGTATTTCCGGACCGATACGACCTTCAAACCTTCAAAAAAAAAAGAGCGTACTCCTTCCTAAAAGGCCGGCAACGCGTTTGTGACTTCTGAGTTGCAGACGTTCATGGGCGGCGATGGTCACTTTCCATCAGGTGACCCGTCTGCTCGCCTGCCCTCTCTAACATAAAAAAAAAACAAATATTTAGTCAGCCTCAGTACAGCAGTCGCATACCCTACCACTACACCACCGAGTCAGAGTACAAACAAACAAACTTGTTGGCTTTGTAATATTTAGTATAGATTATTAATATCTAACTTATCTGGATCTATAACTAGTGTTTCATTCATCTAAAACTAGTGTTCGCCCAGTGGTATATAGAGCGTTTTTTAAATACCACGCGAACGACCCCACGGGTACCGGCAAGTAAATATATAGATATGTGTTTCATCAACATCATCAACAACCTTTAATAGTCAACTGCTGGACATAGGCCTCTCCTTAGAAAGGAGGTTTTGGCCTACTATACCACGCTGGTCAGACGGTTTTTTGCAGTGCTGTTGTCCTGTGCAGTTTGTTCCCTTAGTCGGCTCTTACGACACCCACGGGATGAATAGGGGTGGTGACATTCCTTGTTCTTAATCCGTCACCGTGTTTAGAAATATATAAATATGTTTATCAGCAGTCTGGTTACCAAGTTATTATAAAGAATTTTAATGATTGTTTTATGAAAGTAGTACAATGTTACCTAATCTTGCTACTTGCATTAAATATTTTTTATCAAACAAAGCAATGGACCCCAAGGTCAATTCTCGTCGTCAAAAATCGCTCAAAATCAATTCCGATCTACAAATATCATAAAATCAATTCTTAATTAAAGTATTAAATATCCCACGTTGACTGATGTGATAATGTTTTATTGCGACCGAAAGTTGAATCGGTATTCTGTTAGTCTTAGTAACACTTTGCTACGAGAATACCTTTTATAGGCGGCTATGAAATTACACCTGTACTCGCTTGCCCTCTTATACAATAAAATTAAAGTGTGTGATTAAACCAAAATGTGTGGATTGATTGCCATATGGCAAACAACAACACATGGCCATGTAGTGACGTATTAAGAATACAGAGTGTTACTACCCCTATTCATCCCGTGGGTGTCGTAAGAGCCGACTAAGGGAGTAAACTACTCAGGAAAACAGCATTGCAAAAAGGACAACTTGAAACGAACCGTGTACTACCAACCCGTCTGGCCAGCGTGGTATAGTAAGGCCAGGCTTTCTAAGGAAAAGCCTATGTTCAGCAGTGGACTTGTAAACGCTGTTGATGATTAATGAAACAATGCACACTATTAACCCTACAAGCCTACATGGTGTGCTGGGGCACCCAAGATCGATTTGTTTTCTAAATTTTTTTCTCCCACAAAGCGCGACGGAGAGACGGAGAGGAGATTTTAGTACGATGTTGTCAACTCGCGATTCGTTAGAGCAGAGCTGTGGCAATATACACCTTGTGTGGTCACCATTGAAAAGAACAGTATAGAAAAAAACAGCTTTAACTGAAATGTGTATTCCATATTCCGTATTCAATTATGCAATTTTCTACGACAAGGTATCAAAGATGAAAATAAAACGATCATAAATATAATCAATATTATTTATATTGCAAAAATATTCCGTCAGCCATTCTTCTAACAGGTTTTATACAATTTTATACAAAACAATATCTATATAAACTCTATTATACAATTATTATTAATCAGTTCTTTCTTTAAAAATCGTACAACCCTATTTAGTACATTCTGATTTAAAACAAATATAAAATTATTTATAAAATATTTTGCTGCCCATCCATTAAGTATTCATTCTGAATAATTTACTTACATTCATCATTTCTAACTCATAGGAATATTAAAATAATATTACCATTTGACGAGTACCAAAGTGACATTTGACAATCATTATAGAGCAAAATATTTCTATTATAACCTCTATTTATCTGAAAAAAATCAGTTCTATTTATAATTATAATATAAAAATATAATTGACATTTAACACTAGATTTCAAATTCACCTTAATTTTTAAAATAGAAAACAAAAATTACATAATATTATCTGTGACAAAACTTACGGCTTTACAATTAAGATTACTATTCCTTCAACACGTAAAATTTCTATATTGACACGTCTTATAATCCCTAAAGCCGAAATAAGCTCACTACAAGATACCTTTTTAATTAAATATTTACAATTTTTACAATATCTTATTCAAAATCATATAAAAGTAGCCCCATGATTATATTAACAATCTATATGGAAAGCATACTCGTAGCATGTCTGAGATAAGTTCAGAACGAAAATTCAAACGTCTTTCAAAGCCATAAACAAATTTTTTTTTTTAACTCTTTTCATGATTATGTTTGAATCTTCATTCGATTGTACACTTATTTTTAGTATTCAATAATAATAAAAATATTATTACCGAGGTTTTACCAATCATAAATTTATGACTAAAAATCGTAAATTATACTTTAAGATGCGAGATAAAAACAAGTATATCATCAATTGACATAATTTGCATGAGGTGATTAAAATTTCAGGAACCATAACACCTTTGGCACGATGGGGATCATTCATGAATAGTATTCCTTAAAATAAGTCAAAGAAATTAATTCTTTTCACGTTAGGAATCGATCCATTTTGGTAGGATAATAGTTAGCTCGCAGCAATTGGAGTCCCATTGACAATCTAAACACCGACCAGTCTTACATTGTACCGTAGAAACGCGGTTCCCTACACAAATTATACCCTTTTGGATAGTATTACTTATTAATTAATTGAAGTTTTGACAACAATCAACATCTTATCCCGGACCTTGAAATTCATGTTTCTGTTTTAACCAGGTTCGCATTGCGTGTAATTAAAGTGTAAACACTTCGGGTCATAGGCCATTTTACGTACATTTCATATAAGATTCTTAAGATACCAGTACAAGCTAAAGTTTAGTATCAGTACAACTGACGCGACATTGGTTTTACAGTCCCGCTGTAATTATCGCCGTAAGTCGTGCAAAACGTAATTTTAATGACTTTTTTGCTGTACAAAGGAAAAAAATAATCAAAAATTGCTATAATGTAATTAAGACATTGTAAACAAAACTGATAGATAATGTTTAATCAATACATTTTGTAATTATTGCGACGAATAATCAAGTTATAATAATTTGACACTGACAGCTTTGAGTTGATTTTGTCCCTGTCAAAATATTTTTTAAGATTAAAAAGTTGTATTGTGAGATGGTAACCGTTCAAATATACCTATATGAAATACTACTGTAAACTACGATATCAATCTATGGGCTTATATGTTCACGAGACGTTGTAGTCAAAATTGTCGTTACCGAAATAATTTTTACATATTTTTAGTTACACCATGTATCAAATATTTTCTCGAAATCCTTTTCGAGGGCCTTCCTAGTCCGTTCAACAGATACAATAATAACTTCGAAATTTAGAAATCGATGCTTTTATCTAAAGTCCTCATTCAAAATCAAATTTAAGTAGAACTTTATTACACAATTGGTAATCGACAAATAGCCATTATTTAACAAATAGCCTTGTGAGTATGAACAAAATCATTTTGCAAAATAAAAGTGTAAGATAATACATAACTATTCAGTAATTACGAAGAAACTTTCGAGACTCACCATAAAACTCAATATTTATCTTAGAAGTTATGACTAGACCATACATTATTCGTAAAATGACCTTTAAGCCCCCAAAGTGGCTACACATACACATTTTCTGGACTATAAACCACAAGGAAAGTCACGATAAGACAACGCGTAACACTCCATTCTAAACAGACAAAGTACTACGAAGAAATTTACAATCATGAATCAAGGTGTTACAGAAATTGACAACATTAAATCACAAAAATAAAACTATGATTCAGCTAATTCCTATACTAACCTTCAACAAAATTAATGAACTCACAGAACATTTGACATTAACAATGTTTATCGCACCTAAATTCAAGATGGCTGTTAGTATAGACAAAACATCATTATTCATGTTTGTAAACATCTCTGCTGATTATAATATCAGTCGAAATGACTCGTGCTTCGAATAGAAGGTTACCCTTTTGCTCTTTATTGCAAACTTTATCAAAACCTTACTTTGTTGTGTGACTGTCAACAAAATGACAACTATTCTTTTTAGATCTTTACAATTCGAGAAATTCTAGCGAAATTATTTACATTGGGACAATGTCAACATTTATTCATTACGAGATAATAATTAACATTGTATAGTAGAATATTAAATAGCTGTTTTATTACAATTATTTTGGCAAACAGATATGAACCAAAAATAATTCAATCTATAAAAACATTTCGTATTGAAAATACTTAACAATCTCCAAACTGGAAAATATAATAATTAAAATCCATTAACAAAAAAACAAAATTATAAGTTTTTGAATTTGACATTCTATTGCCGCGAAAAAGAATAAATTAAAAATGGCGCCGCAATCATCTTTGATTACATTATTCGCATATTAAAACATATGTTAATATATTCACATATATTAAATAGCTTTAAATGCATATGTATATAATCTCATAACTTCGTATTTTTATTATTTTAACATTTTTCCAGTCTATTTTATTTGCGATGATTAAAAACAATGTGACCCTATCGCGTGTAGAGGCCATTAACCCGCTTATCGTACGATTAATTATTATTTAACTTCTATTTACACTTGGCTTGTTTCGCAAGTGTATTTTCTGTACATTTTAAACAGGAGTACATACCTTCGATATACAAATTTATGTTACTGCCAGTCCGTAACACATTGGGAACCACTCCGTTCACATATGGCACAACACTAGCCCTGGGGCTTTCATGTAAACACTACGGTCAATCACCAATAAGGGACATTCCCATTCCCACTCGACCGAGTTGTCCAAGAGTTTCCATAATTGATTCTTGCGCACGAAATCCCTGGAGAACTTCGGACGGAAGCTTTTTCTATCGTGTAGTTTAGGCCTTTATTATTGTCCCAATATTCGTTACCTTTGCATTTGAAATACACGCAGAAGTCTAGCCGTCTCGAGTGAATTGGCAATTGGAGTCTAAAAGCGAACGTATCGTATAAAGAAATGCCATTCGAATTCAAGGGCCCCGACTCGACGAACGCACACGAAGTGTCCTCGCTCGTCGTCCAACCGTCAAACGAAACTCTCACACCGACTTCTTTACTAAAATCCAGATTTTTCACTTTCACAGTACCGTCTACCGCGCACTCATTTTGTTTTAAAATTACATTTTCTAGCGTTACACAGTCTTCAGTAATTCTTCGCCTAAATTCGACGTAATCCGATGCTGGCTGCACAAATCTTGTCTCCCATAAGTCCACTGCGGGTGTAGGAGGAGGTTTTCGTTCCGGTGGTGGACTGGAGATGATCTTCAAAGCCCAGTACGGCGGCACATGTGATGGTTCTGTCATAAACTTCACTTCTTCTAGCGCAAGACCTCTGTCATCGGCGAATACCACTCGTTTATTTTTCTTATCCGTAGATAATTTAATACAAGACCTAGGAGCGGACTTCAATGTGAGCTGCACCGGTTTAAGAGGCACTAAACATGGTGCTGAGAATCCTCTAGTTGCCAGTTTGATTGGTCTTCGTGGTGTGGGCAAACTGTAGTCTGTTAAGAAACCGGCGGGCGGACTGTGCCCGTAAAAATGTTCGGACGCTAACATGTCGATTGCCGCGCACATTCTGGAACAAAACGACACACGTGTTAACTCTGCGACGGATCGTCACATACTGAAAGGCGTTCATCGCACGCCAAGGATTTTTATATGTGCATGCGCTGGCCACGCGGTTGATAGTGGTAGGGTGACAATGTTGTGGATTATTCGCGGATAGGTTTTATACATTTTATCTGGGTCATTTAAATGTAAAATGATGAATATAATTTAATGTTAAAGAAATTTATAATAAATAGCTTTAGGAGTAAACATTTGGATTTTACAAGTCTTTTTTCACGAGAATCTCTCACGTCTCGTTGACGATTAATATATTAGGATTTTTTATTTAAAACTTAAGACTTAATGCTATGAAACATTGTCTCCCAGTCAATCTTCAGGCGATATAGAAGTATGATGCGGTAGATGCAAAAATAAAATATTAAATTTGACATAGGTTATAAAGATTTGACTTTTAGATAAAATATTACACTAGATATGACTATTATAATATTTATAAATTTACTGCTTTATATTATATTTATATAGAAGTCTAGAAGTAGGTATACACAATATATAAACACACATATACATAAATTTTATAATAAAAACTTTCGTGGCTTAGGAAATGCTATGTATATTAAAATTCTCTTCAATTTTTTGTTTACATTTTGAATGAAGAAAAAAATATATGTATAAATAATTAGTCGGGTACTAGCGTTGTCACTGTTCTGCCAATTCAGTCCGAAGAAGATTGCGCACTTTTGTGTTGAATATAAGGCGGTTTGTTAATATCTTGATTTCCTCAAGGAGCGCGTTCCAGAGAAAAGCTGACTGTACTTAAAAGGAGGAATTGATGAAATTGGAGGTGTGAGGGGCGCACAGAAGAAGCATATTGTTTGTTGACCGCAGATTCCTTATTACTTTGTTTGTTTTGTTTTTAAAAACACAACTCCCGCATTAGGAATATATCCAGTGACGCGGGGGACTTTACAAATATACATGAAACGGACACAAAGAACACCCAGACTGAGGACAACAATTTGTGGATCACACAAAGTGTCGTCCCATGAGGGGTTTGATCCCACATATATGTACTTATCAGTTTTTACTGGAGGATGATGTCATTGAACGTAATCTTTAACATAATGATGTACTTATATAATATACTCGATTTATTTTTACCTCGTTTACTTCATTAGATCTTACTAATTTGATTACTAAAAACCTAAAATAGTTTTAAACACACATTTTCTTATTTCATAACTAATTTTTAATATCGAATAAAATCTTAGTTGTTTGCTATCCTTTTACGGTTTAATTACTAAACAGATTATCGTGATATTTTAAATACACAGTTTCACGTCCCTAACGTGTTTTATATCATCGGAAAACTTTGTTGAAAAATTACTGTTACCCAAACCAAGAAGTGGGCAAACGTTGATTTAATTTTAACCTAAGCTAGGCTATTTAGTTGCAAAAAAAACAATCAATATTCTAGTGGGTCGTGGGGCTTTCGGAACCGGGACAGCGGTCACGAATTCTATAGATACAGTAATAATTTTTAAGTAATTGGGACCAATAATTTAAAAAAAACAATTCATGTCTTGGGAAAACACCGTCAGCAAAAAAATTAGAAGTTACAACGCAAAAATTGCTTAGTTTTCCGTGAGGTCGTGATATGACTCCGGTCGAGCTTAACCTATTCTCATATAATATTGTGCTACAGACAAAAAGATAAGCTTATCAAATTATCTGTCATATCTTAACCATAAATGGATATTTTAATACATGTTTTTAATTTACTGCGCAACAAATTAACTACAATGAATTAGTGTTACTGACATTTGGTAATACTTACAATTAAAGAACAATGTACACTAATGACAGTAATATATTAAGGTGAAGTTACCAAAACATATTTAAATGTAAATAAATCAATTTATTTAAAGCTATTGTTTATTAAACGTATTTATGATATGTCGTTTATTAATTAAAGATTCTGCATGGCACACAGTTGAACCATTGGCTCACCGATATTTTCGCTCTTTTTTAATATATTTTTAATCATTTCTACTTCTATCTTCATCGAGTTAGCAATAAATATATGTGGGTGTGTAAGATAGCGTAATGTATACTCTAATATATAATACAATAAATGACGTGACGATAAAGAAGAAGTATTTTCCCCCGTAAGTACCAGTACCGGTTTCATTTAAGAAAGTGATTTAATTAAAAATCTCATGTCACTATCGTATTGAACCATAATAAATTTATAAAGAAAATATTTGTTAAACCAAAACAAATATCTATAAGCTTTATTATTACATTTTTAATTAAAACCATTATACCACCACCACCAACCACCACCAACATAATACTAAGGGACTTCTAATTCAATCTATGGTTTTGATATATTCTATTATAACTAAGAAAAAATAAAGGTGCATTTTATATTGCCATAAGTGGACGACGCGCGAAGCAATGTCACTCAGCCGTCGAGCGCTCAATATCGGAGCCGGTAACTATACCTATACATTTTCACGCAATCGGGTTTTTTGTATTTTTTCAATAATTAACTTGTTTTCGTCAAGTTAATTATTGAAGCACCATCGGCAGATGTCGCTTAAGGTCACCTGATAACATCAGGTGACCCATCTGTTTGTTTCACTACCGCTCCCCATTTACACTTAGTCTTACTACTCTAGAGTCACAAATGCCTTCGAGGACCTGAGACTATAAGTATCTGCCCAGTATTCTAAATGTTTTATTAGCTCTCTAACAAATATATTATCTAAAGGACATTTATATATGCGTGGTGCATCGTTAATATAATAGCTAAATCGGTATTCGGTAAAATCAGTCACCTTAAAATGACCAACTATTAAATAAAACGTATTTAATTCTAAGCTGAGATTTGATTTTGCGGCATTAGCTAATTCGAGTAACAAGAACGCGACCCTTATCTACACGAGCTATTGCTAACAACAACATTTTTTTTCTACTGACAGGTCCTTAATGAGATAAAGATGGCTGCCTTTTTTTTCAATTTTGGAATCGAAACGACTAAAAACACACAGTCTGTCATTCTGCGACTGAATTGGGAGTTTAAAAATCGTATAAAATTCAACGCTGTGACAGCGCTAGTACGCAAGGCTGTTGCCTCAGAGAATAGTACTGCAACTGTTATTAAGACATCCGGAGGTTGAAGATGGGCGCGCTGTATTCTCCTTCTGTGTGTAGGACAGTCCGCAGTTATCCTCGGCCGTGGTCACAATACCCTTCGATCACCTCACTTCGTCGTGTAGACGCGTGATCGTGCACGCGTCGTATGCTAATATTTACGTGGCTTTTTTCGTCGTGAAGCCCGCTGTCAATATATATGTTCTATTTTTGAATGTTTGTCTCGTGGTTTGTGAGAATAAATACAGAGCGAGAGGTCGTAGGTTCGATTTAAACCCAGAACATGTACATGGCCGCAACATTATCATAAGGATTGGCCTATAGGCGGGGAAGCCTTCTTTCGCCGGGATAGGGCCTGGCTAAGCACGGCGTCGATCCGGGGGGACCTGAAATAACATGGTCCTGGTCCTCCTCGGAGTAGGGCGCCTGAGTCCGTCGGATGGTTTTTAGTGGAAACACGACATACTCCTGGCTCCTACATCCCCAGGGAACCGGAGATCCGAAGGGATTTTCCACAACAAAAGGTCGAGGATGAGTATGTTTATCAGTAGTATGGGTGTAACAGTACAGGCTCTGCCTAGTCTACTAGTCTAACAAACACACGGCTGTCTCAAATAAGACGACCGTGTCGTATCCAATAAATTATAGTTTTAAAAACTAAAAAACACGCTTTCTATAGAAAACCAAACTAAAAATAAAAAATAAATTTGAAAAAAAGCGTTGGGTGCCTGTTGTCAATAGTAAAAAGCACCCCACGCTTTTTTTCAAATGTATTTTCTATTTTTTAGTTTGGTTTTCTATAGAAAACGTGTTTTTTAGTTTTTTAAAACTATTTCTTTTTTAATTTTTTTTTAATTAGTGTATTGTCATCGGTCCTCGATATATCTACAAAGTTGGACCGAATTCTGACCGTTTAAAGTGAGTCAAAATCACGTCCAAAGGAGTCGGTTACAAACATACAAGTGAAGCTAATATAAAGCGTGTAAAAAGATTAAAAATGCTGTCCAAAGTAACTATTTCACGCGGACGCAGTTGCCGGCAAAAGTTAGTGGGCTATAATAACATAACAATAATATATCGGGGCTCTAACAAACTAAGCAGAGCTTGTACTATGAAAGCTAGATTGACTGATAGAATACATATATACTTCTTTTTATAAATACATACATATAATACATAGACAACACCTAAACGCCGAAAAAAATATTTGCAGATCATACAAACACTTGGTCCGACCCGGGAATCGAACCTGAAACCTCAGCACAGCAGTCACATACGACACCATTACACCACCGAGGCAGTCATCAGTATAAATACATGTTAGCTATCTTTCCGGCCTTATCTAACATCACCCTGCGACCAGAGCCAAGCATCATTGAAAAATGTTCCGAAAACGGGTCAAATTAATTCCTTTGAGTGAAGCGACCTACAAACCTTCAAGAAAAGAGCGTACTCCTTCCTAAAAGACCGGCAACGCGTTTGCGACTTCTAAGTTGCAGACGTTCATGGGCGGCGATGGTCACTTCCCATCAGGTGACCCGTCTGCTCGTCTGCCCCCTCTATATATAATAAAAAGAAAAAAAGCAGACCAAGTAGCGTGGGTCAGCCAGTAAGTGGCTCTTATGACCTTCATCAGAGGTCATCAGGGTCATCTCATCTTAGTTCTTCTAAATCTTGTTTATTTTTATTTATTGTATTCTATTGACGTTTGAAAATGCACTGTAACGAGGGCTTATCAATAAACAGTATATTTGAGTTTGTAATATATTTACAAAACAAATTATAACACTATACGCTATTAACGGTGATCTAATCAACGCTAATATTAACAACTTAGAGATTTATTT